ATGCTGCCACCCCCGTGCTTCACGGTTGGGATGGTGTTCTTCGGCTTGCAAGCCACCCCCTTTTTCCTCCAAACATAACGATGGACATTATGGCCAAACAGTTCTATTTTTTTCTATTTTTGTTCATCAGACCAAAGGACATTTCTCCAGAAAGTACAATCTTTGTCCCCATGTGCAGTTGCAAACCGTAGTCTGGCTTTTTTATGGCGGTTTTGGAGCAGTGGCTTCTTCCTTGCTGAGCGGCCTTTCAGGTTATGTCGATATAGGACTCGTTTTACTGTGGATATACAGTGGGGGAAAAAAGTATTTAGTCAGCCACCAATTGTGCAAGTTCTCCCACTTAAAAAGATGAGAGAGGCCTGTAATTTCCATCATAGGTACACGTCAACTATGACAGACAAAATGAGAAAAAAATCCAGAAAATCACATTGTAGGATTTTTAATGAATTTATTTGCAAATTATGGTGGAAAATAAGTATTTGGTCAATAACAAAAGTTTCTCAATACTTTGTTATATACCCTTTGTTGGCAATGACACAGGTCAAACGTTTTCTGTAAGTCTTCACAAGGTTTTCACACACTGTTGCTGGTATTTTGGCCCATTCCTGCATGCAGATCTCCTCTAGAGCAGTGATGTTTTGGGGCTGTCGCTGGGCAACACAGACTTTCAACTCCCTCCAAAGATTTTCTATGGGGTTGAGATCTGGAGACTGGCTAGGCCACTCCAGGACCTTGAAATGCTTCTTACGAAGCCACTCCTTCGTTGCCCGGGCGGTGTGTTTGGGATCATTGTCATGCTGAAAGACCCAGCCACGTTTCATCTTCAATGTCCTTGCTGATGGAAGGAGGTTTTCACTCAAAATCTCACGATACATGGCCCCATTCATTCTTTCCTTTACACGGATCAGTCGTCCTGGTCCCTTTGCAGAAAAACAGCCCCAAAGCATGATGTTTCCACTCCCATGCTTCACAGTAGGTATGGTGTTCTTTGGATGCAACTCAGCATTCTTTGTCCTCCAAACACGACGAGTTGAGTTTTTACCAAAAAGTTCTATTTTGGTTTCATCTGACCATATGACATTCTCCCAATCCTCTGGATCATCCAAATGTACTCTAGCAAACTTCAGACGGGCCTGGACATGTACTGGCTTAAGCAGGGGGACACGTCTGGCACTGCAGGATTTGAGTCCCTGGCGGCGTAGTGTGTTACTGATGGTAGGCTTTGTTACTTTGGTCCCAGCTCTCTGCAGGTCATTCACTAGGTGTGGTTCTGGGATTTTTGCTCACCGTTCTTGTGATCATTTTGACCCCACGGGGTGAGATCTTGCGTGGAGCCCCAGATCGAGGGAGATTATCAGTGGTCTTGTATGTCTTCCATTTCCTAATAATTGCTCCCACAGTTGATTTCTTCAAACCAAGCTGCTTACCTATTGCAGATTCAGTCTTCCCAGCCTGGTGCAGGTCTACCATTTTGTTTCTGGTGTCCTTTGACAGCTCTTTGGTCTTGGCCATAGTGGAGTTTGGAGTGTGACTGAGGTTGTGGACAGGTGTCTTTTATACTGATAACAAGTTCAAACAGGTGCCATTAATACAGGTAACGAGTGGAGGACAGAGGAGCCTCTTAAAGAAGAAGTTACAGGTCTGTGAGAGCCAGAAATCTTGCTTGTTTGTAGGTGACCAAATACTTATTTTCCACCATAATTTGCAAATAAATTCATTAAAAATCCTACAATGTGATTTTCTGTAAAAAAAAATCTCAATTTGTCTGTCATAGTTGACGTGTACCTATGATGAAAATTACAGGCCTCTCTCATCTTTTTAAGTGGGAGAACTTGCACAATTGGTGGCTGACTAAATACTTTTTTCCCCCACTGTAGATACTTTTGTCCCTGTTTCCTCCAGCATCTTCACAAGGTCCTTTGCTGTTGTTCTGGGATTTATTTGCACTTTTCGCACCAAAGTACGTTCATCTCTAGGAGACAGAACGCGTCTCCTTCCTGAGCGGTATGACGGCTGCGTGGTCCCATGGTGTTTATACTTGCGTACTATTGTTTGTACAGATGAACGTGGTACCTTCAGGCGTTTGGAAATTGCTCCCAAGGATGAACCAGACTTGTGGAGGTCTACAAAAAAAAATGTCTGAGGTCTTGGCTGATTTCTTTTAATTTTCCCATGATGTCAAGCAAAGAGGCACTGAGTTTGAAGGTAGGCCTTGAAATACATCCACAGGTACACCTCCAATTGACTCAAATTATGTCAATTAGCCTATTAGAAGCTTCTAAAGCCATGACATCATTTTCTGGAATTTTCCAAGCTGTTTAAAGGCACTGTCAATTTAGTGTATGTAAACTTCTGACCCACTGGAATTGTGATACAGTGAATTATAAGTGAAATAATCTGTCTGTAAACAATTGTTAGGAAAATTACTTGTGTCATGCACAAAGTAATGTCCTAACCGACTTGCCAAAACTATAGTTTGTTATCAAGAAATGTGTGGGCGGCAGGTAGCTTAGTGGTTAAGAGCGTTGTGCCAGTAACCGAAAGGTCGCTGGTTCTAATCCCCGAGCCAACTAGGTGAAAAATCTGTCGATGTGCCCTTGAGCAAGGCACTTAACCCTAATTGCTCCTGTAAGTCGCTCTGGATAAGAGCGTCTGCTAAATAACTAAAATGTGTGGAGTGGTTGAAAAATGAGTTTTAATGCCTCCAACCTAAGTGTATGTAAACATCCGACTTCAACTGTATATATATATTTATTTAATTGGTCCGCGGCCCTACAAAATGGGGGCCACCAGTTTCCCATCCCTGGCATAGATAATACAGTACGTGGCTAAACGTCTCACTACTGCAATTAGTCAAAATGAGAAGCTTTCTTCCACTTTCAAATGTAGGCTATATGTTGGATAATTGCTTGACTCTAAATTACATGCCAGCATGGTTACAGGTGGTTTTAATATATCTCACAAAAAGCAGTGAGTAGTTAAATAATTACATTGAGTCCAGGAATAGAAATGATTGGAGCGGAGAGAAAAGCAATAGGCCAATTAGGGTATTTGATCTTCCTAATGACCTCCATGGCAACCAAAAACTTGGTAGATAGTTGTTCTCCCAATTATTAAGATCTATAGAACCTTTAGATCCTTATTGAAAGGGCATAACCTTGGAGAAGAGGGCAGAGGATAGTGTGTGTCCTTGATGCATATTGTATGAGGATATTTATGGCATGATTTTCTAGGGCTCTGTGAGCTATGAGGTTTTGGTGCCATAGTGTGGTGATAGACAGTACTTGAACAGTGGATATACAAATACATTTACTGAGTTGTATTCATTTAAGAACCAAAAGGAAGCAAACATAGTAAAACAAGAGTTTCTATTGGACAAATTCTGGTAGGTCCATTCCTGTTTCGTTCCGTTCAATAAACGTTTTGTAACAGAATCGGCGTAATGAATACACCACTGGTCACTCTAGCCTATTGCTTCCCTCACACTGTCTCCTAGCTATGGATGATGATTGGAACAAGGCCAATAGAGAACTACTCCTGATTCCTCATATCACATCAGTGAAATTCAGGAGACCAAATGGCTCTCTATTGGATCAGCATCATTTAGTCTCTAAATGATGAATGGGTGCATTAGCTCTTAAAGACTATTAGCAGAGTAGTTAGCTGTCATAGTAGCAAAATGTTCTCCATGGAGGCAGGCAATAGTGCATTTAGGCTGCCAGTTTTCACTTAGCCAGCTGTACGTGTATCAGAATAGGTTCTTGTCCACTGTGTAGTTTTCAAAGGTATAACAGAAGGGCAGAAGAGGACGTGTTGAGAAAGAGAGAAGACAGGGAGGTGGTGGTGGGAGAGGTGAAAGAGACAGGGATAGGAAAAGGTCAATCTGTCAATCAGTCAAACACTTTAATGTGGCAATACAGTTAAAGTAACAAACAACTGACAGGACCATACACAAATCATCGTCACAACCCCTGCTCCTCTTCACCCCCTCATCCCTGCCTCTGCTTGTGTCTGGGATGAGCCTTACAGAACACAAACAGACGTCCCCGCCGCACCACAAAGAAGCAGTCTTTACACCGGCGTTTCAGAGCGCTCTTGGTTTTCATCCCTACAGCGGGCTGGAGGCAGGCCAGGTGCTGACACTGGCCCTGGAGGGCGACCCGACCCTGGGAAGAAGATCCAGGTGAGAAGGCCAAGGGCTGGATGGGTCTACCTGGCATCAGGAGCACTCTGACTGGGTAGGATGTGAGGGAGGAGAGGCATCGGGAGATGGTGGTGGTGGTGATTGGGTAGGTTCGGCTGAGGGTGATCCGGGTCATCTGGGTTAGATGGCGGGTTAGGGAGCTGACGAGGTGGTTCAACAGGAGTGGAGCCATGGTGTCACCAACACCTGCCTAGAGAGAGAGAGAGAACATATGTATATATATATTTATTTATTTTGTAGGACGTATCTCAATAGTTTTCTCTTGCTTTGAGTTGTGGTTCCTCAGACTGTGTCCTTTCCATTCCTCCATTATCACTGATCTGACAGAACATGACAGGTGAAAGCAATATGGTGGAAACCTATCCAGTCCTTTCAGCTACTAGTGGTATTGAAGAAGAACAGGCAATCAAAGCAATGCAGATAGAAATATAATGTGCAGTGTCTATTATGTTTTGCTTATCCTGGATAATATTCATTTTATATATATATATTGCAGATTCTAGCTGGCTATACAGTGCATGCAGCATGCTCGATTCTCAAGGCCAGACGCGATCATCTTTCTACTGCCCGATTAGGCAAATGCAAAGTACCAGTACTTGATCAGAATAACTTTATGAATGTAACATAATATGCACCAACCTTTCAGCTATAAGAACGGGTTAGAACTGGGAATAAACTCCTGAAATGTACCGTTTAATCAAAACAACACTGCCGAAGAAGGATTATTCTCGCACGGAGCTATCGCTGCTTCCTGGCTGTGACGTAAATGACTTTGAGAAAAGTCACAGCGCGTGCGCTGGGTCCTAAAGCACGAAGTTAGGAGTTTCTGTGCCCGCTAAACACAATTTCTCGCTTTCATTTAAACTGTAACGCGTTGCAGAATTGATCAACTACAAAGTATTAAAAATGATCCACTCCTTAATATGATAATTGTGTTACCGTTGGTTGCAAACGATTCGTGAATATTTTATGACTTCACAGCACTAGGACCAGGCGGACGTCTTTGGAGGTCGGAGAAGCTCCCTCATCTTTGCAAACCATCTTGGGTATAGAGTCCATTGTAAACATGGCTGCCGCTGTGCATCGGATTCTGTCCTTCAGTAGAAATGCTAAGGTGCTTGTATCACCTCTACAGCGCTACAGTGTAGAAGTGTCGACCACTGGAGAGCAAATTACCCACACCGGACAGGTAAGGCTCAAACGTTCCGTTGTGTTTGTTGGTTTCCCCGAAAAGATGTAGTTACTCGCTAGTTACCAAGCTAACGACACTCACTTGCACCACTACTAGCTAACGTTTGGTAATAGTGTCAGATGTTGGTGTTGTCAATTAAGATTTGACCGTTGATCCAGCTTTAAGTTGTGGTCACCAGCTATTTAGTTTAGCTATTTAATTTAGTTAGCTAGCTAGCTAGCTGCTCACCCACTACTGGGGTAGTTAGGCGTTTATTCACAGTCAGTAGCCATTGCCACTTCTGTCAAGATACAAGCTAGTCAGAGCAAAGGCAGATGACACTTTAGTTAACTAGGTGGAGTGTCAGAGTTGGCATAGAACTGTAAGCTATTTTATTGATGGTTGTGATAACTTTACTGTGATCATGTAATGTATGTGTAAAATGTGATCAGCTATATCTGATTGTAATAGTTATGTTCCAAAACAGTGTCTGCATGTTGTTTCAGGTGTATGATGAAAATGATCCCAGGCGGGCCAGGTTCGTAGGCCGACAGAAAGAGGTAAAACTACATTGTATGAAAGGGCCATAGTCGCCATGGGACTTCAATGTAGAAGTTGAATCCTATGACTACCTGTTGAAATAAGGCCTAAAGCCTCTTTACATAGCTCAGCAACGTGGGCATTGATAGATTTACAATGCATATTTAGTAGTCCGCAGAGAGGGAATTTGGACTACAATACAGAGTGTAAGCTACTGATGGTTCTGTTTGTGCTGTGTGTTTCCAGGTGAACAAGAACTTTGCCATCAAGCTGGTGGCTGAAGAGCCAGTCAGTGGCATCGAGGCCAGAGTGGTGTCATGTGACGGGGGTGGAGGAGCACTGGGCCACCCAAAAGTCTACATCAACCTGGTAATGACGTCTCTGTAGTGTACATGTCCCTATAATGTACACTAGTTAGTGGTGTCAAAGTCAGAACTCATATAAGCTATGACTACATTACAAGCATGAGTGCCGATCCCGTATTAAATTTCAGTTCAATTTGCGCTCATGTCCAATTTAGCTTCACGCTACACAGTGAATTGGTGTATTTGATGTGGCGTTCCAATGTGCTAATGTCTGTCTTCTGTCTGTGTTTCTCCAGGATAAAGAAACTAAAGTGGGAACATGTGGCTACTGTGGACTGCAGTTCAAGCAGACCCATCATCATTGAGACTCTTTCTCAGTCCCTCTCTCTCTCTCTCTCTCTCTCTCTCTCTCTCTCTCTCTCTCTCTCTGTAGTCTGTCATTCTGGTTAATAAATTATATCTACTTTTCTCCTCAGTCTGTATCAGTTCCTATGAGTGGGGGTATATGCATATGGAGCTTCATCTTAGTCTTGGCACTCAGACCCAAATCAAGGCTCCCACGAGAGACTAATAAATGCCACAATACTCTTTCTAGATGGCTTGGTTTAAAATGCATTGCATATATTCCTCAAGTGATTGCAATGAGTTGTATTTCTGGACCCTGCAGAAAAATATTCGGGTAACTATTCCATCTTACAGTTCCCTATCTCACTGCCAGAGGGCAGCATTGGCTGACTTGTCAAAAGTGTTCATGCAATAGTAAATGATTCAGTGAAACAACAACGTGCAGGACAGACAGAGTGTTGTGGTTACTGTAGAAGCTGTGATGTGGTTAGTTTTGACAAGGCATTAAACAGTTATTGTGTATGTGGCAATAACCCAATGGCTTATTCAATAGTTATTCTGTGCAAGTGCCACTTCCAGTGCTGGTATCTTAATCATTTTTCTTTAGACATACAGTGCCTTCAGAAAGTATTCACACCCATTGACCTTTTACAAATTTTGCTGTGTTACAAAGTTGGATTAAAAGGGATTTAATTGTAATTTTTTTGTCAATGATCTACACAAAATACGCGGTCAAAGTGGAGGAAAAATTCTAACTAAAAAAATAAATAGGAAAAATAAAACATATCTTGATTAGATAAGTATTCAAGCCCCTGAGTCAATACATGTTAGAATCACCTTTGGCAGCGATTACAGCTGTGAGTCTTTCTGGGTAAGTGTATAAGACCTTTCCACGCCTGGATTGAGCAACATTTGCCCGTTATACTTTTCACAATTCTTCAAGCTCTGTCATTGGTTGTTGATCATTGCTAGATAACCATTTTCAGGTCTTGCCATGGATTTCCAAGCAGATTTAAGTCAAAACTGTGACTCGGCCGCTCAGGAACTTTCACTGTCTTCTTGGTAAGCAACTCCAGTGTAGATTTAGCCTTATGTTTAAGGTTATTGTCCTGCTGAAAGGTGAATTAATCTCCCAGGGTCTTGTGGAAAGCAGACTGGACCCGGTTTTCCTCTAGGAATTTGCCTGTACTTAGCTCCATTCTGTTTCTTTTTTTATCCTGAAAAACTCCTGTCCTTAACGATTACAAGCATACCCATAACATGATGCAGCCACCACTATGCTTGAAAATATGGAGAGTGATACTCCATAATAATTTTGGATTTGCCCTAAACATAACACTTTGTATTCAGGACTGTGAGGTTGACCATGCGGTTGGATTGGAACAGTGTGGAGGCATACGAGGAAAATGTGGGTTTTCTTGCCAAAGTGATGCTTTTTATTAGCAGGTGAAGAATTAATATAGCCAGCGACTGTACAAGTATTTACAAAAACAAACAGGACGATGAACAACAAGAGACCTAATGAACTCAAAAGAAAAACCAGGCTCAATAATTGTCTGTTAACCTAGCAGCATGCCATCCTTACCCTGTCTGTCTCTCAAACATAAATGACAGGGTTCAAATACCAATACACATCATGCATTTGACCACTGGGAAGAAGCCCTTTCAAATCCTGTTTAATTAACATTAAACTGCATGAATTAAGATCTAAATGTCTTCAAATGCTACACACACATGAATAACCTTAAGCACATATATCAATAACGGTGCAACCATGCTTTTAGCATAAATACAATCTGGGATATGAACATGTAGGTCCACCCGGGGATAAGAAACTTCCACTATACTGTACACTGAATAAACCATGCGCTCTTGAACGCATCCCATTGCCTGACGATTATTTAACCAGGAAATTAACAGATAACTCTACAATCAATGAGGAAATACCAGGTAATAATTTACAAAAAGGATATCGCTAACCCCACATTATACCATTAATAAATACATATGCTTATCATAAACCATTAACTGTTTGCAATGTCTGATTATTAATATAAGGCATGTCTTTAGATTATATGACGGAGATCATAGGACAATCATCACAAGGACAAAAAGTTAATTTCTTTGCCACATGTTTTGCATTAACAGGATGCATGTTTTGGAATATTTTTATTATGTACAGGCTTCTTTCTTTTCACTCTGTCATTTATGTTAGTATTGTGGAGTAACTAAAATGTTGATCCATCCTCAGTTTTTTCCTATAGGCCCTCTTCGCAGGGACCAGGGAGATCCTTATAGGACTCATCCTGCATTCATCCACCCTTCCACTCCCACTCCCCCCTTACACATACCCTCCCCCCCTCTCCCACTCCCCACGCTGCGCTCTGCCACCCCTGGAAGATGTCAGGGGAGCTCCAGTCTGATAGGGAACAGCCGCGCGGAACAATACATGTTTGAAGAAGATCATATATATATTTCAGCAGCCTTATTCTCCATAGACCTGCATGCCAAATTGGCCCAGGCAGGGTGTAGTAGGGCTGGGCTACAGATACAGACAGCGCTAGAGCTAGCCTGTCCTGTCCCGGGGTAGCGATGCAGGCAGCCATTGGAACAACGTTTTCCACACCATGGCGTTCAGGTTGGAAGGAAAGCATCCAAGCTGATATAATTGGTCCTGGTGACACGGGAAGAGAAGGTTTGATGCGATGGTAAGAGGGTAAGACTCATTCATAGTCAGACCAGGGATGGGTGATTGAAAGAGAGAAGACGAGACCATTGTTAGAAAGGATGTTCAGTCAGGGTAGGTAGTTGAGAGTTTGAAAGGCGTGGAGGTTTTAGTGAGACACACCGGTTGGTTAAGAGGTGTGTGTGTGTGTGTGTGTATAGGTTGCAGGCTCTTGGCTGGTTGGGGCATTGCTCTGAGCAAAATCTTCAGATGAAACTGAGCATATGAATTGTGTTGAATAAAACAGCACCCTTTTTCAATTATTCATCCCTCTAAAATACCCGGACCACCTAATAGATATAGAGATGCAATGCTGAGAGGAAACTGTAGGTATAATTTAAGACTGTCATCAGACTCTTCAGATTCAAACTGATTTTAGTCCGATGTGCAATTGAGCTTATATTCATTATCTAGGATGAGTGCATGCTGTCAAATCACTTTTTTACAGGAATAGAAAACGCATCGAAATGTTATTGAAGTATTATGATTTGCACAGCAATTCTTCCATCCATCTTTTATGTAATATTGTGTCCTTTTTAAGAATAAGTTCTGTTGTTTCTTATGCAAACAAAGGGAAGTAAAAGCAGATGTGTTGTGTGAGAAGAGCAACTCAGTAAAAATCTCCAATAGATTCCTCTATGCAGAAGATGAGGAGGATAAATACCACTGAATTTCCTCTGTGAGCGCACACACACACACACACACACACACACACACACACACACACACACACTATAATCACTGTATTCTCCTCAACATAGAATAACAATTCTCACTGTATAATTGCCCCATTAAAAGATTGTACCTCTAAAATATGTCACATTACTGAGCCTCCAGCCTTACTAAGGAGCTAAACCTGCTCTCTCTTTAGCCAATTATCTAACCTTCACTTCTCTAAAGTCGCTCTGGGTCTAAAATGCCCGTAGACACAGATTTAGGATCAGCTAATCATCCTTCAATCCTAACCTTTACCATTAAGGGTATAACACTCATAGCTGACCTTAGATAAGTGTATTGGAGGGACTTCCTTTTACTCAACTGAAGTAACAGAGTACAGACGTCGTGACCTTTACCATGGAGACGATGTGACATGTTCTAGTGCCAGGGACAGAGAGGGTAGCTTGGGGAAGCAGACACCTCCGCTAAGGGGGGTGACGTGACAGTCTAGAGAGAGAGTTAGCTCTCAGCACTCTGATAGCCTCAAAAGGCCTGAGTGTATGTGTGTGTGACAGGAAACAGGAGAGAATGGTGTGGCCGTGGTGTGTGTCTTGGAGAGAGAGAGAGAGAGAGAGAGAGAGAGAGAGGAGATAGTGTGTGCGTTTGTGTGTGTATTTATATAAGTGTTTGTGTGCGTGTGTCCGTAGGTGCGTGTGTGTGTGATGGAGGGGGTTGAGTGGGCTAGGTGTTGGACTGAAAGTGTAGACAGAGTTTAGGATAAATCAATATAATTTTCTTAGAGCCTAGAGAAATGAACTTCCTCCTCTCCTGGAGTCTGCAGAAACACGCTTACACAGACCTTCTTCAGAGTTAGAAATTGTGAAAAGACTGACGGTGAACTATAAACAGGGCTACCACCTTATTGTGGGAGACAGAATGCAATTCTATTACAATGATCATAATATATCAATTAATGTTGTGGATAGTTCCACCCATATATAACTGTCAAATTGCTGTGGTCTGAGGGGCTTTGCCTGTTCTAGTAATTATATTCCTATGGTTCCACCACTAACAAAACTCTAAATGTAAAGGCAGACTTTATATTGCAAGAAAGACATGCACCTCTCGGGCATTTGACAGATGCTTGACTGTTTGCATGATGCGTCCCCACAGGGTGTGCTGTGGTGGGGCTGTTTTATTAGTGGTGTGAAACAGACAAGCTAACATCAGGTCCAACCTGTCTCTGCTGCTCTACCAGACTGGGGCATTAAACACACTATGGCTTAATGCATTATCTGGCCCATAGAGCTTGGTGTTGTGTGAGAGAGACGAGAGGCAGGGTGGGATATATTGTTTGTGTGTCTAGACTGCTTCTGTGGTTTAAGTTGAGAGAGAGAGAGATGAGGGGGGGAGTGGAGGAGAGAGGGTGAGAGGAGAGGAGGAGATGACAGAGAGGAAGAGATGACAGAGAGGAAGGAGAGAGATGCACAAGGATTAGAGAGGGGGGAAGAATTTAGCAGTAGAGGTAAGAGAGGGAAATGGAATGGAAGGAAAGTCAGAGGATGTCAGAGGAGGGTAAAGAGAGGATGGAGAACGGATTCACATCTCAACTGGAAAGGACAGACAGAGACATGGAACACATGCAGTATTGAACTGAACCCACAGTGAGAAAACCTTCAAGTTGCCACTCAGCAGTGCAGTGCTCTGCAAGACAGCCTAGTGCTCTCCAGCACTTGGGGCCCTGTATCACTGCAGCAGCTGAGGGTGTAAACAGGTACTCCAGTCCCGTTAAGCCCACTCTCCCTCTGCCCTACCATCTCTTCATATATTTCCCTCATATCTCCTCTCACCTCAGAGCTAAAAGGCATGGATGATATAAGCACACTGAACTTTGAGGGTGGTTAGTTTTGAACCTTTCGATATAGGCCTATTATTGAGCATCTTGGTTCGGGGTAGAGTTCTCATTCGGGGTTGGGAGTTTATCATCTCACAAATTGCAATTTAATAAAGTGGAATGATAGCCTATACACTAAAAAATGAGGGTTCCTCAAGGCTTCTTTGGGAAGGGTGATGGTTCTATGTGGAACCATAATGACTCAAAGAATCCTTTTGAGCTTTTCAATGGTTCTTTACAGTTCACAAAAGGGTTCTTTGCTCTTTTTGTGAAAATTAAAATATAGGGGAGGCAGTTCATTAGAATCTTTTGGGGAGTGGTTTGCTCACAGCTCTTTTTGTGCAACCATGAGTGAGAGAGTAATTCCAGTTTATCTAATGTGTTGTGTTATCAGTACCTTCAGAAAGTATTCACACACCTCTACTTTTTCCACATTTTACAGCCTGAATTTAAAATTTATTAAATTCAGTTTTTGTGTCACTGGTCTACACATAATACCCCATAATGTCTAAGTGGAATTATGTTTTTATTCAGTCTGTAACACAACGAAATGTGGAATAAGTGAATACTTTCTGAAGGCACTGTATGCCATTACATATTATACATGACTGTGGCCAGTTACGTGTCTTGTGAAAGACTCATGTAGGCTATGGCCTTGTGTCAACTGAGAACAGTTGACTAAATCAGTCAGTGGTTCTCAATTCTCTTCCCAGGGACCCCCAGCTGTTCCAGAAGTAGCTCACTTGATTCAACTGGTCAATTAACACAATAATAACACCTATGGAATTTTAACAATATGATATGCCTGAAGAGAATAAAAACCCTGTATGGTTCTTCAAAAGGATCTAAAAATAACCTTTCAGATTGAGAAAGGTTATTTATAGAACCATTCTCCATAAAGGTTCTATCAAGAACCATAAAAAAAGTAACCATAGCGGAAACCTTTTTTGGTGCTATATAGAATATATTTTCATTGTTCTTTTTATAGAACCTTAGGGTCCTTTATAGCACCATACAGGTTCCATGTATAACCTTATTAGCATGGTTCTTTATTGAACCTTCAAAAAAGTGTTCTATATAGCACCAAAAAGGGTTCCGCTGTGGTTACAAGCCAAAGAACCCCTATCTGGTACTGTTTAGAGCCATTATTTTTTGTGTGTATAGAGCATCATTTCAGAGATCATTGTACCGCTTTATAATCCTTAGCTAGCTCTCTGTAAATAAGACTAGAGGATTGTTCGTTATATTATGTCTCCATTCATTGTGCTGAAGAAAAAAAGTAAACTTTACAGGAAGGGCCAGATGTCATTATTTATCATCTTAAATCTAATTTATTTATGAAGCAGAAAAAGAATGGAATTCTCGGTTGAATTCGTCTTGAATTATTTAGACTGAAATGGTTAATTCCATACAAGGCCTTGCAAGATCTCGGCTCTGTTCTGTTTAATACTTCATCATCTTTCGTAAACCGAAAACTGAGGAGAAAAGAAGAGAGAGGGAAAAGTAGTTTATTCATCCCGGACCCTACCGCATAATTGTTCTTTAACTCTTATTTAGAAAGTGTTTCTGGAACATTTTAGAAAGCCTAAAATTCGTGATGTTATGTTGAATAATTTATTGTTCTTGACAACTAAAGGTTTTGGGGATATTGTAGGATTTGAGTTGATGGAACGACATTAAGCATATTTTAAAGAGATAGTGATATGACGGGTGTGGTGATTCAAAGACAACCAAAATAAGTCCATGATGTAGGCCTTTACTAAATATATGTATATTTTAAAGATGTTTATCAGATCGAATTGTACCTCATTTGTATCAATATTATTCATCCATTCGATCCCTCTCATGCCACTTATTTTTCTAGCCTTAAAATGTGGAAAAGTCTCACTCAACCCTCTGGTTGAATGGCATCATGTCATGGATCTCCTTACAATGTTAGGCCTAGGCTACTCCTAACCCTTCAGCTGGCAAATCAGAAGAGGTATTGCATGAAGTCAGTGGAGATAAAGCTATTAGATTAAGAAGTGTGTTAGGCAGCTCAACTCCTCGCTAATGGAGTATATTCTATAATGGAGTGACCCGTTTAGAGAGCGGTGGATGCGCAGCTCATGGTCCCAGGTTGATGCAGTCAAAAGCCGGCTAATGAAAAGAGACGCATCACTGATTGCTGCTATATCTGGGCCCGCGGTGGAAGTGGCATCGATTTAACAATTTAGCAGCCCCGTCCTCTGTGTGTTGGAATTAGTCACGGCTCAAGGATGCCCAGCTTGCCCCCTTTTACAAACACACACACACACACACACACACACACACACACACACACACACACACACACACACACACACACACACACACACACACACACACAAACAGGGAAAAATAGCCTACTACAGTATATCTCGCACTCCAAGGTGCATTCATTGAGGAACTATATGTGCAACATATTCCGTCTTGGAGGAAATTGAAAGTTCAATAAAAAATGTAAAATAAACCGATGTATATTTCATTAGTAGGCTATGATACATTTTCATGTGATTTAGCCGCACAATTCCAGCACCATGGAGAGCGAACGCAAGGAGCAAACAGACGCAACAGAGAGAACATAATTCTGCAAAAAACGATTGTTTATTTCCGTGACTCAATAACTGCAATCGGACTTTAGTGCAAGAACATGTATACATGTGTGAAATAGTGTGATAATAAGCTAAACATATAGTATGCTTTATTTCGTTTAAGAGAAAAAATGGTGCTCTCATGCATCTGGTTATTATAAAAGGTCTGTAAACGGTTTAGGTCAGTAGGCTACTCCCCCTAAGGTATTCCTACCGTGCTGTAGGAATACCAATCAACGGCTTACATGTGATACTCTGTCCCCACATCCAACATCATAAAACAACATATTTTCAGTGTTTCTGTGATTAAACCATCCAGCACTTTCTAATCTGTTGAATGTGAGGGATCATTTTACCTGGAGAATGAGTAGGCTACTACATTGCTTTTCTATGTCCAAAGGGATTGAATCCCTCTTTTCCACTAATTTACAACTGTGTTTTAAACTGAAAGTAGTAAGAATTTTAAGTTTATGCAAAACATATTTACTGACACTGATGTAGCCTACGTCGATGTATTGACGCTTTTCTAAAACAAAAAAAGGCATGGAAGCATTTGCCATCATAAGGAGTTCATATACCTTTCTACAGCAGTCTCTGTAAGTCTCGGTAATGAAGTCTATACATGCTGCAAAGACGAGGTAACATGTTCAATAGAATGTTGTCCCAGAGTTCTGCCTTCCATCACCTGTCTATTTAACCCAATCCATGCCCTGTCCATGGCTGGCTTGGACAACACAGGGTTAAAGGAACTCTGTCTGAACAGTGGGTCATGGAAGACCCCGTCCACCCAATCTCTGAGGGTAGCCACCGGCGAGTCCTGCTGCCCAGCCGCCCCCACCTTCAGGTGGGGTACTTCAGTTGGATACCCCCCTGGGGAGAGAGTCTCGCTGGGGGTGGCTGTGTGCATGCATGCAGGGAATTCAGGTTGGATAGCAGCAGTTTGTGCGATGGACCAGATTTTAGGTTTACTGCTCTCTGTACTTCGCAGGTCCTGTTGAGTGTAGAATAAGTTGGTTGTTCGGTCATGGTCTGGTGTGTGTTTGGGGCAGTCTGCTGAGAGTGACAACCGCTCATTCCCGTGTCGGGATGTGTCTGTGGTATGTCTGAGTGGGCTGGTGGAAGGGTCTTTGGGGTGGTGGCGGTGGTCCGGTGGTGTGTGTACTGGGGTGTCCTTGGTGTGAAACTGGTGTTTAGGGTCGCAGTCAGAACCATCCGACTCTAGCAGATCAAAATCCTCCAGATCACTTTGTTGTAGGTCCACACACCTCCCTGTTACAGAATCTTCAATGAAAAAATGCATAGATGTTTTAACAATCATAAACTTGACAGCCTGATAGAAAGCAACTTCCATCTAAATGAATGGGACGCCATTTTAAATCTATGGTACACATGCACTCACCATCAACATCTATCTCGCTTTTGATTGGCTCCTCCTCTTGCGATCCCTCTGCACCATCGCTGTCATCATCACAGCCCCTCTCGTCAGAGCTCTTATTGGCTCGTGGTGACCATGTGACTTTGTTCTCCTTCTTCAGCCTCCGCCGTGCATTGGCAAACCACGTGGATACCTGAATGAACAAACGCATTAAGAAATTATTAGATATTTGATAAATTCCCAAGCCGGCCTTTGTGGCCTTGAGCAAGGCACTTAACCCCTAAAAATGCTCCAGGGGCACTGCAGTATGGCTGCTCTCTGCTCCAACCTCTTCAACCTGTGTTTGTAATTATGTATTTTGGAGGGTTTAGGATAAAGCAGAATACATTTCTGTGGGATGTAATCTTTTTCTGTGATTAACCAGTGCCGACACTAACGGAAAACTGTAAATTATACGGTAATTTGGGGTATTATCAAAAGTAAAATACTCTAGCATATTGTAAATTATGGTGCATTGTGGGAAAATGTTGTGGGCGGGGAAAGAATTGTTGTATTTCGAATGGTACTGAAATTCCACCCCACAGAATACAGTACCGTACCATATCTTTGGAGCTCCAAAAACCTTTTGACCACTAGCGGGTGCATGGTATTGTTGTTTCTGTCTCATTAACATATTTTGAGGTGTGCCTTGTAAGAGGCAATATTTGTTGCACCCAGAGGCTGCACCACAGGTTCAAAAGTGATGTGGCCTAGGTTGCCATGCTTTCTCTCTATATGCAGCTATTAATAGCCTATATTTGGTTATTATGATATGTATTAAAAAGTTGTTTAATATAATTTAGCAATGTAAGTCATTAATTTTTGCATTACTTTATGTTTCTAAAGTATATTATTTTGATACGTTTTTTTTACATCTCAAAATAGGATGCGGCCCCTTTAAGACAATTGTGTTCCAAAAGAAATATCTAACTGGCTACAGTAGGCTTGCAAAGAGAAATGCTGAAGTGTATTTTGTAGCTTTCTCTTTGCAGACTATCGATAGTAGCCAGCATATTGCTAGTATGTTAACTATTGAAGGTTTACTTTTGTAAATTACTTTCCCTAAAATAAATAAGCTCAGCAAGTAGATTGATGGGCGCTTCTTTTTCCTGAAGACAGCTCGTATGTGCTGTGTGAATTTAGCTATCAACTTCTGTAGTGCTCGAGAAGTTGTGACTTGATGGAGCGTACAAATAGCAAGACTTTTCTGAGTGTAGTCTTCAATGGTTTTCAATGGTAGACGGCGACAGAGCAGGTAAATGTTGAACTGGAATACAAAAAAGCACTGAGAAGTTACTGGCCCGGTCTGTACTGCTGCTTTGAAAGTGGCCACATCAGATTATAAAGTACTGGGGGAAATGCTGTCTCACCACACGTTTTCCGGGAGCTCTGGTTGCACCCGTGAGTGAGAACGCTGTACCAATTTAACTCGTATGTGGATATAGTGCCTCATCAATTAAAAATGTATAGGGGACAGATTGGAGTGGCAGCAAGTCTTAAACCTTAAATGATTTAGCATTTTGACATGTCCTTTTGGTCTGTTTTGCCTTGTAGTCGCTGACATTTTGGAAGCATTTTTTAAGACCTCTAGAAGTGCAAATGATATAAAACACCAAATATTCATTAATATGCTGTAATGTGTAAACACTTTACGAAGCAGCCAACCTGCTTGCACCAATCCCTTGTAATTACAGTAAAATACTGTGAAATACAAACCCCTCCCCTCAATGAATTTCATTCGGTCATCCATTCATTCATTCATTCCGATTATGGTAGCCTTTACTTATTTATTTTTAAAAGTATAATACAGTCAATTTTACAGTATTGTACTACGTGTGTCATTATACAGTACTTGCTTTGATACCGTATTTATATTACAGCAGGTGTACTGCAGGGATAGGCATCCCTGGTCCTGGAGTGCCACGGGCACTTCATGTTTTGGATTTAACCGACCTGGAAAACCAGTTGTGTGGAATTTAGGCAATCACTGATCAATTAGCTCAGTTGGCCAGGTGTGGTGCCTAGTTGTAACAAAATCCTGCAGTACCTGTGGCATTCCAGGAACAGGGTTGTCTACCCCTGGAGTGCTGTAATTAAGAAATAAGGCCAGAAGGAGTGTGGTATATGACCAATATACCATGGCTAATGGCTAATCTTATACACGACGCAACTCTGAGTGCCTGGATACAGCCGTTAGCTGTGGCATATTGGCCATATACCACAAACCCCCGATGTGCCTTATTACTATTATAAGCTGGTAACCAACGTAATTAGAACAGTTTAAAGTATTTTTTTGTCATACCCATGGATACAGTCAGATATACCACGGCTTTCAGCCAATCAGCATTCAGGGCTCGAACCACCCAGTTTATAAAATGAAATATATAATTTTACTTGCCACTGAGCTGCCTGTAAGTTACTGTCAAATTCACTGCAACCCCTTTACAGTGTAGTGCTCCTCAAAAAGTGAGGAGCACTGTGATTAACGAGTACGTAGTGCTCTTCGATCAGACCTGTACTGGAATGCATGATAAGTTCAGTAGAGCTCCAACTAACATATTCAGTCTCCAAACACTGAGCCAGTTGTTACCTGTGTGAGTGTCATTTTGGTGATGATGGCCAGCATGATCTTCTCTCCTTTGGTGGGGTACGGGTTCTTCTGGTGCTCCTGCAGCCAGGCCTTCAGAGTGCTAGTGGTCTCCCTGGTAGCGTTCTTCCTCCTGGCCGCTGCACTGTCCACTGATGACCCATACCTGGTAGAAGGGAGGAGAGGGGAGGGGTGTCAGAATAGGGGTTTATTTGAAAGAGAAACTCTTCCAAATCTTGTATTTTCAACACTATGTTTATTGGATCTAAGATGTGCTGGAGTTTTCAAATATTGTACTTTTTCCTCCTTGTACTTGGAACTATAAGGGGTTTGACTTATTACATTGTGCAAGAGATATGCGTTCTTAAATGTAACTCTTTTATGCATCAATTACGCATGCGTTATCCCTATTTCTCACGTTTTGATAATATTGAAATGTTTTCTAACAGAATTATAAGTTATTTAGAAACATATAACATGTTTAGTAGACATACCCATATCGGTCATATGGATACTGCCCAAATGCGTAATCGTACGGATAGTAAGCAGGGGTTTGAGAGGCCCCCACATGCACAGACGCTCCATCTTTGGACTCCAATGTTCCCTGCAAATATGAAATCAAAATAGTTTATTATTAATTATTCGTTCATTGTGATTGAGAAAACTTGACAAAAATCTTTCAAAACCTGACTGTCAAAAATAGTTTTGTTTAGGCTACGTTGCCCACCAAAGATATGGATCAGTCCAGTACGCACGAATTGGGCAAATGTTTGGCCTTTTTATTTCCGCTGACATTACGAATTAAGTGAAACAAGAAGAAAGATAGAAAAAAAAGGGAAGTCAATATAGAAAAGTACCTACCCTGGCATATAGAGCTGTTGCGTCGCCTCCACAGGTGCCATAGTAGCCCTGGCTCTTTCCATAGGCAGCTCCGTACACACCCAGACCTATAGCCGGGGTTGGTAGCTCCTGGCCCGGGGAGCCGAGCAGCCTGCTCTCGTACACCGGGCACCGGAGAGGCTGGGGAGAGGGAGGCATCACACCGGAGTCCAGGAGAGACCTTCCGCCAGGCTCGAGGCAGTTGGCCAGAGAGCTTGTGCTCATGAGGAACTGGCGCGAATACAAGAATAGATTCTTCAGGAAGAATATAACCAATACGCAATGCGTGAGCACAAAACGAAAAAGGCTATCAATAAATTAGTTATTTTGTCAAGCAAACAAAAAGTTGGCTATATGATTTATGTGCAAACCCGAAGACACTATAGTAACAGAGACAAAAAATGTTTTCCTTCACCACACTTGTTTCTTCTAGTGAGAGAAGCCTTACCTGGTGTGAAGGTGAGTAGGGGTATCCTAGCTGCGGGTAAGCCATGATATCAAACATCAGTGAATGTCGTCAAACTTCAAAGGATCGAGCACGAGCCCAATGTCCAACTGTCACTCATCCGTGCATCAGGATTAAGTAGCTCCTAGACGTTGATCTAAGGTCACTTTTGCAATTCCCCTTCGAAGGTGGGATCTGGAGAGGTTATGCGTGTCCTAGATCTGTGAGTAAAGGTCACTTTCACCAAATCAAACCAAAACCGAAACGCACTTCTTTCCACCCCGGGTAAAGTGCCGGCACTCAAGATTGGGTTTGTAATGAAGTCTGCTTCAGCTCTTCTTCAGCTCTTCTATCGAGGTATTTGGGAAACATCAGCTAGGGTAATGTCCTTTCCCCCCAATTCCCAATAATGTCCTTGGGATGTTTTTTGGGGGATGACTTAGGTGTCCAAGTCGGTTGACAGTTGGTGACTCGCTGAATTAATGAATATGTTTACTGTCCAGTCAATCTGACGCGGTGAAACGCATCATTTGCAGTCCAAAGCGGTAGTGATGTTGTGATCTATCATCCACAAACCAACCATGCCACTCCTGATGCGCTCTCTGCTTTTAACGCGCCTGTCTCACTGACGTCACATGGACTCCCGCAGGCACCCTACGGGTCCTCTCCTTCAGGAACTTATATTCAGTTTAGGACCTTCGATTTAGCCGCTTTCATGTAGAAATACAAATGTTGTAAATAAAACAAAATAGGCCTTTGCCAAAAAAAATTACACTTGCAGAAATCCTTGTACACGGAGTTGTTTTTCTCAATGAGAAAACAGAACAAAGCCGAAGGTAGGCCTACGTTCCTCCAAATTATCTTGCAGAATAAACTTATAAAAGTCGGATTTCATTGAAATAGGCCTACAAGACAGGAAATAAAATACAACTGTATACCTCATATACTAGTATTACTTACCGTTATTGACGCTGTCTGTGAACGACAGACCTGCTCACTCAAAGATTCCCGTTTCCACACGAGCGCATACACCGCCCCGGGGTCCCGGTAAATATAATGAGGATGTGTTCAATTCGCCCCCTCCCTCCCTCCCTCCCTCCCTCCGACACACACACACACACACACACACACACACACACACACGCCGCATCAGAGGGGGAACACGGAATGACGTGACAGCTCTATCGCGGATGATTGATGACTATGAGATGAAATTAGCATAATAGCTTTTTATTCCTGTAGTTTAGATAACATGTCACCTCAATGAAATTACCTCCTGACTCCTGATCAAGCTGTTACAGTGGAGATGAGATTATAATAGCCAGGTCTGAACGAATTAATCAAACAATAAGCACTTCTGTTATCTTTAGAGGGCATCATTTCCAACTCAGTGATTGTGATGCTGATAAATTCAAAGTTGCCCTGGAAGCAGAAATGCTTATTTATATTGTGCTTTAATTTTATTATACATTACATTATTTACCTGGTTTTTAATTACTAAAGTTCAAGTTGTAATTATAGCCTAATAAGGTGTGTGTGTGTGTGTGTGTGTGTGTGTGTGTGTGTGTGTGTGTGTGTGTGTGTGTGTGTGTGTGTAGGCCTACAATCAGAGTAGTTCTTATAAATGTCATCTCTCCCCAGAGACTATCCAAACACTTCATCCTTGATAAAAACACTTGACTTGAGATATTACTGATATAATAATACTGTAACTGTATCTGTCATCACTAATCCACAGCATTAATGATGATGAGTACCTCATCTCTCTCTCCCCCTCTCTCCCCTTCTCTCATCTCTCTCCTGCTCTCTCCCTCCTCTCTCATTCTCTCCCCCTCTCCCATAGCAGCTAAAAGGGTAAGCATGTTTCTGTTCACTTATTCTGCATCATTGATGAGAAAGGTCAGTGGATTTATACCGTACGCTTAGTTCACTGACTCCTTCCCCTCTTTAGGGCTCTTCTTTAGGGCCCTTATTAGGGGGAATGAGACTACCTCCTGATAGCCTGACTAATGTGGAATTATAGTATGGAAGTGTAGTATAGAAGTATAGTATGGAAGTGTAGTATAGAAGTATAGTATGGAAGTGTAGTATAGAAGTATAGTATGGAAGTGTAGTATAGAAGTATAGTATGGAAGTGTGCTGTATAGGACATTACCGTGTGTGTTACAGTATGGTAGATTGTGAGTTAGACCAATTCAGGTTTACAACGGTATAGGTGTTTTATTATCATCCATAGAGAGAGAGAATGAGAGACAGGGAGCGAGAGCGAAAGAGAGGGAGAGAGAGTAGCTGTGTCAGAAGACCTTGTACTGTGTAGCTCAGTTGGTAGAGCATGGCGCTTGCAACGCCAGGGTCATGGGTTCGATTCCCACGGGGGGCCAGTATGAAGAAAAAAAAAAAAATATATGTATGCACTCACTAACTGTAAGTCGCTCTGGATAAGAGCGTCTGCTAAATGGCTAAAATGTAATGAAGGACAGTGGATCAACTATTTATTTTTCTTCTTCCTCTCCCTCCCTCCCTCCCCTCTCTCACCAGGCCCACCCCCTTCAGAATGAAACGAGGTAGGAAGTAGAAATTAAATAGAGGAATTGATAATCCATTTAGTAGATATGGACAAAATACATAACCAATATTCTATTCTATTCTATTTTGTTGTGTTCCATTGTATTGTATTGTACTGTATTGTACTAAATTGTACTGTATTGTATTGTATTCTATCATTTTGTTCCATCATATAAGAGGAAGATGAGAGCAGATCAAATGCTCTTAGAGCTGAACTATACTTTCCTCCATCGCTCTACTTAACTAAAATACCTTCATAAAGCATTTCTATGCTCTCGCTCTCTCGCTTTCTCCGCAATCTCCGGCCATCTCTCTCTCTCATTGTTCTTTAAGTGATTCTTCGTCAGAGACATTTAAACCATGTTTTTCTCCTCTCTGCCAAAGACATTACTAGCTTTACCTCTTCTCCCAATCTTTTATGCAGAAAAACCAAACCTGAGAGACGCAAAAAGCATCTACATGTTAAATAGTGATTAAAATTGTATAGTGTTCATACTTTCAGGTAGGAAATATTCAAATGTGCCTTTCTGCACCGTATAGTGATTGAAGGAAGTTGTGATTGGAGTTTTCCCCCTTTCTGCATTTATCTACCGTGATGCTTTCTTCTCTCACATTACTGTGTGTGTGTGTGTGTGTGTGTGTGTGTGTGTGTGTGTGTGTGTGTGTGTGTGTGTGTGTGTGTGTGTGTGTGTATGTGATTGTGTGTGTGTGTGTGTGTGTGTGTATGTGGGTGTGTGTGTGTGTGTGTGTATGTGGGCACCTGCTGTGATGCCTTTCCCTCTCACATTAACTCCACGCCCTTCCCACTTTATTATAGTTACAGTATGCAGAGAGGAGAACAGAGTGTGTGTGTTTCCTGTTGAGAAGTCGCATTATGAATGAATGATCATTACGATAATCACAGTCTAACAGACGCAGTGTATTCTCAGATACCTATAGAAGTATGCAATATAGATGTATATATATATATATATATTCATATATAAGTACGCCATAAAATATTCAAGAGGGGGGAATAATTACATTTATAATGGACTCATCTGTTTAAAACAGTCCGTCACAAAAGCAGGATGGAAGTGACATAAAAAAACAAGATGTCTTCTGTATTGTTCTATAGAGAATAACATGCTTTTTTTTCTTCATTTCATTAGAAAAAAAGCGGTTTTCTTGAAACTGAGTCACACAGAAAGCAATAACATCATCTTGTTCATTGTCAGAAGTAAAACACATTGTTATCCTCTTGAAGTGACATGTGTTTGTGTGAATAGCATCTAAAGCCAGAGCAGCAATATAGAAATATAGATATATTTCTATTTGTAGTGTTGAACTCAAATGAGGGTTAGACAGTCACCTTTCATGGGACAAATGGAATGTCAATCAAGCACTGAAACACAGAAGGGTTCTCCCCCGGGACATAGGGGCTCTAGAATAATGATGGGGCTCTGTTGTAGGAACATCATCACTTTAGGTGCAGTGGGACTGATGTTGGGCAAACCAGTGTCCTTTTATCTCTCTCATGTCCCTCTCTCTTCTCTTCCTCTCTCCTCTCTCTCTACCTCTCTCCTCTGTCTCTCTACCTCTCTCCTCTGTCTCTCTTCCTCTCTCCTCTGTCTCTCTACCTCTCTACCTCTCTCCTCTCTCTCTACCTCTCTCCTCTGTCTCTCTTCCTCTCTCCTCTGTCTCTCTACCTCTCTCCTCTCTCTCTACCTCTCTCCTCTGTCTCTCTACCTCTCTCCTCTCCTCTCCTCTCTCTCCTCTCTCTCTTCCTCTCTCCTCTGTCTCTCTACCTCTCTCTACCTCTCTCCTCTGTCTCCTCTCTCCTCTCTCATCTGTCTCTCTACCTTCTTCTCCCTCTCCTCTCTCTACCTCTCTCCTCTGTCTCTCTAACCTCTCTCCTCTCTCTCCTCCCTTCTCACTCTACCTCCCTCCCTGTCTCTCTACCTCTCCTCCTCTGTCTCTCTAACCTCTCTCCTCCTCTCTTATACCCTCTCTCCTCTCCTCTCTTCCTCTCTCCACTGTCCTCTCTTTCCTCTCTCCTCTGTCTCTCTACCTCTCTCCCCTGTCTCTACTAACCTCTCTCCTCTCTCTCTACCTCCTCCTCCCTCTTCTCCTACCTCCCTCCTCTGTCTCTCTACCTCTACCTCTCTCCTCTGTCTCTCTACCTTTTCCCCTCCCTTCTCCCTCTGTCTCTCCCCTGTTCTCTCTACCTCTCTCCTCTGTCTCTCTACTCTCTCCTCTGTCTCTCTACCTCTCTCCTCTGTCTCTCTCCTCTGTCTCTCTACCTCTCTCCTCTCTCTCTACCTCTTCTCCTCTGTCTCTCTCCTCTCTCTCTCTCTTCTCTCTCCTCTCTCCTCTTCTCTCTACCCTCTCTCTCGTCTCCTCTCTACCTCTCTTCCTCTGTCTCTCTTCCTCTCTCCTCTGTCTCTCTACCTCTCTCCCTCTTCCTCTTCCTGCTCCCTCTGTTCCTCTCCTCTCTCCTCTTCTCTCTACTCTCC